GATTATAGGGATGTGCCACCATGCTTGGCCTAATGATGAATTTCTGAATACACTGAGATCTGTATATCTGAGAGGTCCTCATCTGCATACCCAACCACCCACAAATGGGAAATATTTTTTAAAAATTGCATCTGTTGTGAACCTGTATAGAATTTTTCTTATCATTATTTCCTCAATAATTCAGTATCACAATTATTTATATAACATTTATAATATTATAAATAATCTAGTGATGATTTAAATAAATGAGAGGATGTGTATAGGTTATATGCAAATACTGCACCATTTTATAGAGCAGACTTGACATCTGGAGATTTTTGGTATGTGTGGGGATTCCTGGAACCAGCCTTTGTCAGATATTGAGGGGCGATTACATTAGAGCTAAACTTGTTCTTAAATTCATGCTTACTTTTAAAAATGTATGCTCTGCTTAAAGTTTTGTTCCTGTTGTTTGCGATCATGTACATTACTAAAACACTTTTATTTCTGTAATCAAGATCTCTCAACTTAATAAATAGTATCCCTTTTGTGTACAGGAAAAGAATAAGCTGAACTATTCTTATTCACAGGTGACATAATGTAAGACCGCTGTCCTTACCAAATGCTCCGAGGAGCTGACTATAGTGAAGCACACCCAGGGATCCCAGCGGTGCCTCCAGAATGTAAGACCAAAGGCCTTACCAAATGCTCCAAGGAGCTGGAGGGGAGCACACCCGGGGATCCCAGCGGTGCCTCCAGAATGTAAGACCAAAGGCCTTACCAAATGCTCCAAGGAGCTGATTGCAGCGAAGAACACCCGGGAAGGAACACACCGGAGATGTTGGAAAGTGAAATAGACCTTAGTCTGGCCAGAGGGCACTCCCAAAGCAAAGTAGCTTAGAGAGGCGTTAGTCCAGAGTCCCAGGCTCTTTTTATAGGGGCTTGCAGGGGAGTTAACAGCCTAAATTTACAGAAGAAGGAACAAAGGTTTAGTGGTCTTACATTTGTATGTTAATTAGCCTGACATGTACTGATAGCAGATGCTTTGTAGATTGTTCTATAGATAGTGGTGTCCAGGGAACAAAGAGTTGGATAATTAAGACTAATAGGGATCTTATCTAGTGTCCTGGAACTAAGAAGCATCTTTATCTATTTACTCACATTCAATCACAGTTGGGGCTAGGGGAGTTTTATGATTACAGAGTTATGCAGTCCTACATTGATTCTATACATAGAAGACCCCCAAAAATTCCACCAGAAAGCCCCTAGAACTAATAAAAAAATTCAGCAAAGTAGCAGGATACAAAATTAGTACACAAAATTCAATAGCATTTCTCTACACAAACAATGAATACACTGAGAAATAAATCAAGAAAACATTACCTTCAAATTAGCTTCAAAAATATTAGTATTAACCTAACCAAGGAAATGAAAGACCTCTATAATGAAAATTATAGTACTCTGAAAAAGGAGATTAAATAGAATACCAGAAAATGCAAAGGCATTCTTTGTTCCCGGATAGAGAAAACTAATATTGTCAAAGTGGCCATATATCAAAACCAATTTATACATTTAATGCAAATCCAATCAAAATACCAACATCATTCCACACAGAACTAGAAAAACAATCCTACAATTCATATGGAACAGGAAGAGACCCAGAACAGCAAAAACAATCCTAGGGAGGAAGAACAAAGAAGCAGGCATCACAGTCCTGGATCTCATGCTATATTACAAAGCTATGGTGATAAAAACAGCATGGTACAGCACAAAACTAGATATGTAGATCAGAGGAACAGAATACAGGATGCAGAACCAATTCCAGGCACACTCAGACATCTTATCTTTGACAAGGGGAGAAAAACAGAGGCTGAAGAAAATAGAGCTTCTTCAACAAATAGTGCTGGGAAAACTGGTTGTCCACATGCAGAAGATTGAATCTAGACCCATCTCTTTTTTAAAATTTAATTTTATTGGTACATTTTA